TATATGTATGTACATATATATATATATATACATATACAATAATCATAATAATAATAATATACACAGAGAGAGAGAGAGAGAGAGAGAGAGAGAGAGAGAGAGAGAGATAGAGAGAGAGTAGAGGGACTCAAACACCTGCAGAAGCGCTTACATGTGGCTTGGCGGGTGTACAACTCTCTTCTTCAATAACCGGGCCTGAAACAGTTCAATCTTTCTCAGACGAACCTTTCTACATATCGCAACTAAGTTTCAAGTTCTCTCCGATTGGGTACCTAAGGCAATTCACGGTTTTGGAGCAAGGTTTGGTGGTAAACTGTTCTGCCAGCAAGTATCGCAAGATTGGAAAGACAATGAACCTCTCGTTCTTGCTTGACCTTGTCGGAGTTATGGACAACTACGTTGTCCGGTGGAGTTTGTGGAGAGCAAAACGTAGTTCACATCGCATAATTCACAATGACTCCGGGCGCTGGCGCCGGCGATTTCTCTGCAAATAATGGGTAATCACAGGCTGTCAACGAAAACTATGCGCCTAGTCCATGCACCTCACAACAGAGGGAGCCTCGCACCCTTCTGCCGCTCCTCCTGCTGCTGCTACCACTACTACTACTGCTGCCATTACCATTGTTGTTACGATTACAATACTAATTTCAATACGAAATACTACTAGTAGTACTACATAATATTAGTACCAGCACTAATACCTATGTCAGTTCTGAATTTAACCGTAACTTGATTGTAAATATTCGCAATATGAGCAATATTTAGTAGTAGTAGTAATAACAACATGAGTAAGAAGAACCTTGTTTTGAACTAATAGTAGCGTATGTTCACGATCCTGGACAAGAATCGTGGAACCTCACAGCTTCGGTTCAGCTTCACAGTATACCCTGCGGCCGAAACCTTTGCAGACATTTGCACTCCGACTGACCGCCTGTGACAAGGAAACGAGCAGCCGACAAACCAGGGCACCTCGGGATTCCGACCCCTCTCTGAGACTCCACATGCGAGGAAATCTATATCCGGGTTCTGGTGGCCACACCTAAAGTACCGCATGTGTCTTGCATATACTAAGCGCACCTGCTGATTTGGAAAACCCACCCCTCGCCCTGCTGCGTGGCTAACTTCCCACAGCAATGGCCATGACGGTCAAAGAGGCTCCGGTGGTGGGGCCCGGGGTTCGGGGCTTGAGGCTTTAGGGGGTTTAGGGTTTAGGGATTTGGGGTTTAGGGTTCTCTCTTCTTCGATAACCGGGCAAAAACATGTTCAAACTTTCTAAGACCGACAAAATATGTATTTAAAGTTCTCGCATTGGGTATCATATGGTTTGGGGTTTAAGGCGCTTGGGACCAGTGCAGGTGCTGTTCGGGATTCGCGGCTCAGGGCTTGAAGTAATCGTGCAAGAGGGACATAGTTATTATAATGGGCCTCAAATCCTATCCCCCTACATTATAAAACCCTTTTATGGGCCTCAAATCCTATCCTAATTATTAAGGCCCCTATATTATAGAACCCTTTTATGGATCCCTTATAGTTGCCTGTTTAAAGGGACCTCAGATCACGTGTTCTCACGACTCCCGGCTTTTCTAAGCTCCTTTTGGGGGATTTCGGGTTTAGGTAGGGTTTAGGGTTTAGGCCCTTTTGGGGATTTGGGGTTTAGGTAGGGTTTAAGGTTTAGGCCTTTTGGGGGATTTGGGGTTTAGGTAGGGTTTAGGGCCTAGGGTTTAGGGTTTGAGGTCTGCCAGCCAAGTCCGCACGACGTCCACAGGTTTAGGGTTTGGAGGGCTCGGCAAAGGGATGCAAGAAGCTCACGTGCCTTCGAACACAACTTCTACGCTGCAGGAACCTGCTCGACTGTTGCAGTCTTCCTCATCCCAAACCTAGCTATCAAAACCCGAAACCACAGATCATGAAGGCTTCCCACGGTCATAAAACGCCGAGGTGCCCGAGCCTGCAGACCCGTAATGTCTGGTTGAAAAGCAAGCACGCTCGATGGCATGTGAAGTTCGTGACTGATGGGGGTTTAGGGTTTTAGGATTTAGGATTCGGGGTTTACGGTAGGGTTTAGGGTATTAGGGATTAGAGTTTAGGCAGTTTAGGGCTGGCTTCAGGATGGCAGCATTTCTCTCTTGGCAGGAGCCGTCCTCGACGTTTACGTACAACATGTCTCGAACAAACGCGAAAGCCGCAACATGGACCCCAAAGCTGTATAGCCCATTTAAGACTGCAAGGCTAAGCCAAGGCTGTGTGAATCCATTTTCCGTATGCACTTCGAACAGCCGGAATTGGCACAAACTGCTGTAGCTCCTTATAAGGGTTCCTGAATACAGCTGTACAGTACTATACACCCAGATCCCATAACAATTACACATAATGGCGCTCTAGGATTCTCTGTTTTCTACTATAACTCTACTATGAATTGACTCCAAAACCCTAGTCGAATGAGTCTAATCTTTAAGGCCCCACAATTTGGCTTCCTCCATCCTGGCGGGTTGCCAGATTGAGGGACATCTAGCGCTACTCAAGGATAACAAAGCCGATCTTGTTTCACCTGCACCCTAGAACACCTGACAGTCTTTTGCTCCAACTCTGGGAGCGTAGACCTACCAAAGTGATAGTAGCGCCAACTAACCAGTGGTTTTGAGGTTCCCTTGGCTCCTCAGCTCGTTATTTAATAGGGATTATCATCATCCCTGGCTCCTTAGCTCCTCCAATATCACTGGTTAGCCAAACCCCTAAACCCCCAAAAGGCGTCAAGACTTGCCATTACCAGCAAACTGTCGCATGCACCCAGCTCGATGGCATGGTCTGCAGATCACCAACTAGGATACCCAGTAACCCAAGAATAAAAAGGCCTCTCTTTTTGGTATTTGGTAACTTTATAAGGAACCTAGGACTACGAAAAGGGAATAAGGGTACTACTTGGCATCCGAGTTTCTAACCAGTGATTTTGGGGTTCCTTTGGCTCTTTAGCTCCTTATCGAGTAGGGAGTATCATCATCCCTGGCTCTTTAGCTCCCCCAATATCAATGGTTAGATTTGATGCAGAAGCTTTGGGGGTTTAGGATGGTTTAGGGTTCAGAGCCTATAGGGTTTTGGAGGGGTTTAGTATTCATATAGGGTTTCCTGAATTGCTTCGGATATACTGCAGAGGCGGGTTCAGGGTTCAGAGCCTATCCTGGGCTGTCAATCAGTGGATGACCTTTGAAGCTCCCAGGTTCCTTCCTAATTCAAAGGGGAACATGAGGGACCCTAAATGGGGACCCCTACCCGCTTTATAATGGGTATATAATGGCTATATTTATTAAGGGTATATTACCTAGGGGTCCTTATTAAGGGTCCCTCCTTCTACCCTTGGACTAATGGTTTCCTGTAGGGTTTATAGGGTTTAAGGGTTTAAGGGTTTAGGGTTTCCTCGGTTGCTTCGGATATACTGTGCCAGAGGTAGGTCATTTGCAGGCTATACTTTATACGGTTGACGATATGTCCTGCATTACCTAAGGACCGTAAACTATGGGAAGTATGGTATATTCTTTATTATGGGTAATGCAGGATTTATATCATGAACCGGTTCATGACATAAATCCTGCATGACCCATAATAAGGAATATACCATATATCCCACAGTCTCGGGTCATTAAGGTAATGCAGGATTTGTATCATCAACCGTAGTTTTAAAGGGACTGAGTCAGCTGACTTATACACGGCTGCAACTAATGGATTAGGGCTTGGGTGAATAGTAGAGTGTCCTTGTGTTTGACTTGAGAGCCAAAGCAACTGTGTCTGTTTACGCCCGTCTATTACCTGGTGCTACCCCTGCCAGAATCTTGGGTTGCTCACCATGTCTTAATTTTTTGGTACCCTGTTTGTGTTCCGTTGTGTTCCGGCTTGATTTCTGAAGTTATAAGTGTATTTCGTCCACTCCTTTTCTGAAACATCAAACTACACCTGCAGACCTGCAATTGTCCGCTCCGGGCAGTTCTGAGATTTTTCATTCTCCAGGTGCTCTCTGGCACCAGTGGAGTGAGCACCAGGCAAGTTGATTTAAGAACCCGACAAGGTCTAGGGTTTATGGTTAGCAGAAACACAACGGAATAGCGTGTGGTCACCCGGCTTGCGTTCAAGCCACATAATCCCCGTCCACAAAAGCATCAGACGGAACATAATTACCCTGGGACAGTACACTGCCGCGCTGTGCCCATCAGCAGCGTAGCTGTCCATTTGGTACGGTTCAATCTCGGACTGTCTAAACTCACGAGCCATCATTACAATGGGATGGGGGTTGAAAGGTTTGGCCAAGCCCCCTTCCTATGAGTGTATCAGTGCTTCTCAAAAACCTGTAACACGTAGCATCCCAAACCGCGCAATTCGGCAACCGTAAAGCCAGCAATCCCGAAGACATCGTTCTGCTTGCAGGTGCTCAAGAAATCTCGGGTATGCTGGCAGAAGTGCTCATCAGGAGGCAGTCCGACCTAGGACAACCCTCAATCATAAACCCAACATATCCTCGGTTTTTCAGACCGGTTGATGATGACGATTGTCTTGAGCCGCATTCAACTTTAAATCCTAGACCCTAATTAAACCATTAACCCAAACTAAACCCTAAACTCTAGTTAAACCCTAAACCCAAACTAAACCTTTAACACTAACCCCTAAGCCCTAAGTAAACCCTAAACCCTAAACCGAAATTAAACCCCTAACACTCAAAGCGAGCATTTTGCGTCGAACCGGCACGGCAGTTTCAGAAGCACTCGACCCTGGAAGCCCTTTGGCTCCTCCTGCAGGCGACCAGGAAAAGCGGGCTGCCCTTCAGGGTTTTTCGGTTTTTCATCCCTGCCATATTTCGCTGGCAGCGGAGCAGGTTGGCGATCCAGGGCGTTGGGGCGCTCGCTGTGTCGCTCCAGGGTGCGATCCTGGACTTTGTCTTCGGAGTTTTTTGGTGATTGTTTTGAGAACCCTCTGCTGAGGGCTTGGGTCAAAGCCTTTGACCTGTGGGAGGGGCCATGAGGTCCTACTATGAGTCGTTTGGAGCTGTGGCGTGTGATTCGAATGGGGAATCTGAGCAACAGGAGACCGACGACTATGATGATGATGATGATGATGATGATGCGCGGCGGCGCACCCCGGACAATGCCGGCACTGGTGGGATCTCAAGTGACTCGAAGGACTATGTCGAGCAGCCGTGGTGGCGCGGCAACAGCAGAGGGTCCACTCCACTCAGGCAGCCGGCCTGGGATGGGTGGTCCGAGGACGGAACATACATGGGCTCTCCGGCCCCTTGGGTCGGCGAGGACCGGCGAGGCTGGAGCTGGTACGGTGAAGGTTCGGAAAAGGACTTCGACCGGCGGAGCACTGAGAATTGGAGCTGGAAGACAGGCGGCTTCGAGGACAGTGCTCGGGAGGAGGCCGAAGACCAGCAAAGCAATGAGAATTGGAGCTGGAAGACGGCCTGCTCGAACAATGGAAGCTATGGAAGCGAAGCGGCTAGAGCTTGGAAGGGCAAGCACGAGGCGCAGTGGGATCAAGCCGCCTTCTATGCCGAGGACTACCAGCACCACGAGCACTACGACACGATCGACCGGAAGGAGGATGAGTTTCGCGACCGCAAGGGCGAGGTTAAGGTTGCCGGAGAGGAAGATTCTACCTCTCGCGGCGAGAAGAAGCCCAGCCGGGTTTCGAGTACGTATCCTCCGGTGTTCAGGGCCAAGCCGCAGGAGAGCTACTTGGAGTGGAAGAGGAGTGTGGAGTTTTGGATTGGAGGAGAAGGAGGACAACTGCCTCCCGAACTGGTGGGGCCTCGGATGATGGTTCAGCTGAAGGACCGGGCTGCGCAATTGGTGAAGAGGCTCAGCAACAAGGACGTGAACGGGGCGGACGGAATGACGGTGATCTTTGCCGAGCTGGAGAAGTCCCCATTGATCCGGCAAATGGACAAGCACATGATCGATGAGCACAGGCGGCGGCTGATGCATCTCAACCGAGCTCCCAACGAGTCCATTGAGAGCTACATCACGAGGGCCTCCCTGTACAGGTCGCAGCTTTTGGGCCTGGACAGTTCGTTGGCCATGGGGGAAGCCTTTTATGTTGGGCACCTGATGGACCACGCCCACTTGAGTCACCGCGACAGGGCGATGGTCAAGACCAAGGCGGGCTCCGAGACGGACGAGTACTTGGTGACCAATGCCTTGGTGGAGTTGGCCACGGAGCTCGAGGGCGAGGCTGGCTACCCCATCGGAATGTCAGAGCCGAACATGGCCAGGAACGGCGAAGAGTGGCTTTTGCAGCGCGGTGACGGCCGGGCTCGCTACACTGGCGGTGGTGGGAACAATGGCGGCCGAGTCGCCAGCGGCACTCCGGGAAGCCGGGCGGCAAGGCACTCCTTTGCTGCCGAGTACATGGAGGCAGGCGCTCCCGTGGACGAGGAGCCCGGCGACGAGGACTTCGAAGACGGGGAGACACCCCCGGAGCTGCTCACACGCGAGAACGAGGCTTTCGGCATGCAGTACAAGGCCAAGCAAAAGATAGCAGAGGTTCGCAAGTTGAGACAGTTCTACAAGAAGCCTGACAATGAGGCCAAGCGCAAGGCACTGGCAGAACAAATGCGGGTGAACCCGTGCCACAACTGCGGCGAGCTGGGACATTGGAGCCGGGAATGCCCCCATCCACCGAAGAATGGAGCTGGAGAGTCAAGGCGGTCGTCCTCAACAAGTGCTGGTGGCAAGGACGAGGAACCCCCAGCGTGCGCCAGAAGTGTCGGAGGACCGTGAATGGGATCTTTTGCTTTCCCTGTGCAGTGGGCCAACGAGCCAGAGTGACCCGAAGCGATGCCCCTCTCCGCAGTATAAGGGCCAACCATCGCACCAAGTGTTCGGAGTGATCGAGGTTGAGGGTTTTGACGTGTTGTGGTCATTGCAAGATCTCGCCTTTAAGATCATCTTGGACATTGGATGCATGAGGTCAGTGGCAGGGGTGCAATGGGCCAACTTGTTGGTGGAGCGATGGCAACGTGAAGGCCGATGGTTTCATGTTGAGCGTGAGAAGGAAACTTTCAAGTTCGGAGGCGGAGAGGTGCTCACCAGTCGCTTCAGGTTGTCTTTCGTGGGGAGCTTTGCTGGGAAACCTGTAGTTTTCTCCTTTAGCATCGTCGAAGGCAGCTGCCCACCACTTTTCTCTCGTTCGGGGTGCACTCAATTGGCCGCGATCATAGATTGTGAACATCATACTGTCTCATCAAGGAAGCTACATGTGAAGAACTACGGGGTGGGGCAAGAGAGTGGTCACTACACGCTGCGAGTTGATGATTGTGAAGTGGACTGTGCCAGTTTGCCCATGGACTTTCGCATGGAGCAAGGGGTGGATGCTGTTCCGATCATTTCCGCAGCATTGAAGGAGCCGAGCCGTAGCGACCAACCTCATCCCCGACCTCTCGATGGCAACGGCCGCTCCTCCGAAATGCAAGATTTGCAACAGCTCGGAGCATCGAACCAGGCAGTGCCCCACGATCGACGTGGAGTCGGAGGGGGACGAGAGCTTCAAGATGGTGGGACCCACCGAAATCGAGACCCGACCGAGGCGCACAGCACCACCACGCCCGGAGGCCATGACCACTGTGAAGGGCCGCCGTACGCCGGGATCGAGCAGCAATCAAGCCTCACCAGCGGCAGCGGCGGAGATGGTGGATGGAGTCAGCGGATTGACCCCGCAGGAGCTCCAGATGCTGACCAAGAGGCGAACGAAGCAAGCTGCCTCCAAGGCCAAAGCCATCGAACGGAAGGCCTTGACCGGGATCCAAGCAGACTTTCCATCTCTCTCCCATGCATGGAGTTACGAGGTAGCGATGAATCTGGTGTGTTCCACGGCCAGATGAGGACGTTCCTGTGGAAGAAGTTGGTGTGGCAGGCACGTGTGAAGGCAGCAGTGGAGGCGGAAGGTGGTCGGAGATGGAGAAACCCCAGGTGGTTGTCGATGTTGCTGGGGAAGGAGGTGGCATGGCTCTTCGGCCACTTCGGATCGATGCGCCAGCGGATGAACGCGCCAGACACCTGGGCCCTGATGTAGGGGCCGGCGGCCCTCGCCGCCCGAACCGTGGAGTGCAGCAGAAGATCAAGGGCGGGGTGCAGAAGGTGAGGTGATTCGGGACCCCGGGAAGAAATTGCTGCTGGAGGTCTTCGCAGCCTCCGCAAAAAAAAGTCGGCGGTAGCACGTGACCGCCCAGGCTGGATGGCAGGGCCTCGCATTGACTTGGACGGAGGTTGGGACTTGGCGAGCCCCCGGGATCACAAGAGGCTCCTGGACATGATCCGAAGATGCCAGCCGGACTTGGTGACGTGCGAGCCTCCTTGTGGCCCTTGGTGCGGACAACGGGATCAAGACCTCAATGACAACGCCGTCTGGGAACGCCGCCAAGGTCACCTACCATTTTGGAGGTTGGCGGCTGAGATCTGGGCTTTACAGGCCAACGAATGGCGCACGGTCGTGATTGTGCAGCCAGTTTTGTCACAGGCTCTGCAGCTCAGCTTTATGCGTGAGCGGGACGGCGTCCATCGGGCTGTTCTTCCTATGTGCGGCTTCGGGCTATGTGACCCGGAGAACCACCAGCCCTACGACAAAAAGGTGGCCTTCGAGACCAACAACGGCGAGCTTGCCCGGAACATGATGCGCGGCGTCTACTGCACCCATGGAGCACGAGGACACCAGACGACGCAGGGGTACTGCAAGGAGGCGGGCCTGTGGATTCGAAGGTCAGAGGCGGCTTCGAGGTGGCCTCCTCAGTTTTGTGAAAGGATGTTGGAGGCGGCAGAGCATTGTATGAGCCGGGCGCCGGAGCCTGGACCGTGGTCTTTGCGTACGCCTACCATGTCAGGTGGCTGGGAAACCATGGCCGTGGCAAGTCATGACGTGCCTGATGAGGGGCTGCGCCAGGAGCTGGCCAAGCACTCCATGACGGGCGAACGAAAGGACTTTGTGCGCTTCGAGGGCGCCGCCAATCAACAACCTCGGCGCCTACGAGCCCTTGTTGCCCACCTCCACGTGACCATGGGCCACCTCTCCAATGACCGCCGGGCCAGAATGCTGAGGCTGAGTGGGGCCAACGATGCGGCAGTGAACCTGGCGAGCTCACTGCGATGCCAGGTGTGTGCGATGACACGACCGCCGTTGCCTACACCCCAAGTGGCCTACCAGAAGCCCAAGGCGTTCAACGAAAGGGTGTCGGGCGATTCTTTCTACGTGTGGGATGCTCAGAACCAGAAGTTTGCGGTGACACACTACATCGACGCCCTCACCGATTACCAGGTTGGTGACCTGACGGACGCCCCCGACTCGTCCTTCTCCCGGGAAGTCTTTCAGGACTTGTGGCTGGCAGTGTTCGGTCCACCCGATTTGCTGATCACAGACGGAGGCAGTGAATTTCGGGGCAGCCTGGAGACTATGCTGGACCTCTTTGGGGTCGTCCACGAGGTCACCCCAGAAGGAGCAAAATGGAGGCTCGGGCAAGCTGAACTGATGGTCATGAAGCTGGTGAAGGGGATGGGCTTGACCGGCCTGAAGGACATGCGCCACGCTCTCCTGGCATCAGTGGGAGCGAGGAACCGCACGCTGAATCGTGGTGGAGTTTCCCCAATGCAAGCGGTGACCGGCCGGAACACCATGATCCCTGGCTCCCTCATGCAGCAGCTCTCCTCGGGGAATGTCCGGTTCAAGTACAATGCGGCGAGCACCAAGGAGGCTTTGGCCAGGGCCGAACGCATCCGCATTGGGGCAGTGGAAGCCTTCCATTGGCTCGACTCCCACGACGCGCTCAGGCGGGCATTGGCTTCGAGATCCCGACCTCCGCACATGGAGGGCATCCGTGAAGGGGCCATGGTCTATGGCTCGTCGGGCCCTGAAGTCATCGTCTGCGCGGAGCGAGACAAGCCGATTCCGCAAAGGATTTGGGTGCGCATCCGTGGCCGGGTGAAGGCTTTTCCTTTGGAGAAATTGAGGCTGGCGACCGTGGACGAGATGGCCAGCGCTGAGTTCATCACCCAGGCCATTCAAGATGTGGGGAGCGGGCCAATTGAAGGTCGAAGAGGTGGCTCCGGAGGAAAATTCCAAGGGCAGGGCATCATCCTCATCCTCCTCCTCGTCTACGGACACGGAGATGGAAGACAAGGAGGACGACCCGGTGGCCACAGCTGAGCAGGTCGAGCGTGCCAAATTGTTGGACGACCTGCCACACTCAGTGGCCCGCAACCTCGAGGACAAGCGGAAGCGTGACGCGGCCAGCAGCTCCACGGACGACCCCCACACCCTGGACTTCCAGAAGAAGCAAAAGCTCTTCGAGGAGCTGGCCAAGCAATTGCAACCGCACTCCAGTTTGGAGGAGGCTTTCATCCGGAAGCACTTGGAGGACACCTATGCCCGGTTCAAGCAGGTGAAGAAGGCCATCCTCACTAAGCCCAAACAAAAGGCCGGACGCAGCCGCGGTGATGGCGGTCATACCAACAAGGCCGACCGTAGCAAGGCACGATCGGTGATGCAAGTAAGTTGCGAGGACGTGCCCGCTTTCTTCCGACCTGGCGAGATGGAGGCCTTGGTCAACGACACAGTCCGCCAATGGTCTATCTGGGGCGAGCAGTCGGCCTACGCTGACCATGAGGTGCTGGTTCAAGTGAGCCAGAAGGTTCAGTCCGCTGAGATGGAGGGGATCACCGAGGTGACCACGGGTCGGGCACGCGTGGAGTACAAGTGGTCCACGCTCGACCCTCAGTGGCGTGATGCATTTAAGGAGCCCTTGAAGAAAGCGGTCGGCGTCTACCTCGAGCACAAAGGCATTTGCGGTGTCCCTGCCGATCAGATTGTGGACCCCACCAGGGTGATTGGCTCGCGCTTCGTCCTGACCAACAAGGGCGAGGACGATCTGAGCCAAGCCGACTTGAAGGCCCGCTGGGTGTTTGGTGGCCACCGAGATCCAGATGCCGGATTGTACGCCACAGCATCGCCTACGGCAAGTGTGTTGGGCCACAACTTGCTGAACTTCGTGGCGGTGCAATTGGGCTGGGTGGTGCACTACGAGGATGTAAGCGCCGCCTTCTTACAGGGCAAGGAGCTGCCACGGACCGAGAAGGTCTATGTCAAGGTGCCACGGCTACCCGAGCGAGGTGACCGAGTTCCTGATGGGCGGCCTGGGCAACGGGATGCGCCCGGACATGGTGCAGCTGACCAAGGGTGGCTTTGGACTTCCGGAGTCTCCAAGGCTATGGTACCTGGCCGACAAGGAGACTCTGCAAGAACTTGGGCTCCACGAGTTGGCCTTGGTTCCGGGGCTCTTTCGGGCTTTCCACTTCAGCGGTGAGAACAAAGGCTTGCTCCGCGCTTTGGCCTCCATCCATGTCGATGATACTCGCTATGCTGGAGACCACACGAGCCAGGAGATTTGGGACCGATTGCACCTCAAGCTCAAGTTCGGCAAGATGCGGAAGGCCACAGAAGGGTGGCAGAAGTTTTGCGGCAGATGGGAGCGGCAAGACCCGGAGACCTTCGAGATGGAGTACTCGATGTCAGAATACACCAAGTCCATCCCGATGGTTAGGACAAGAGCAGAGTGCCCTGAAGCTCCCTCGACTTCTACCACGACTCCCGAGAGTTCCTCCACTACAAGTGCAGAGTGCGGTATGGCTCCATCGACTTCTACTACGACTCCTGAGAGTTCCTCCCTTACCAGTGCAGAGTACCACGAAGCTCCATCGACTTCTACTACGACTCCCACATGTCCATCGGTGAAGTGTTCCAGTGGGGATGCCATGGTCATTGATTGCCTAGCCGAGGCTGTGCATCAGGTGGTGGGTCCAGACGAGGCATTGACAGATGCCGAGAAGAAGCTCGTGGGCTCTGTGGTCGGTCAGTTGAACTGGGCGGCTAGACAAGGGAGGTACGACTTGAGCTTTGTGGCGTCCAGTGTGCAACAGTTGGCTGGCCGTGGACATCCGTCAGCCCTTAAGGTGTTGAACCAAGGCGTGAAGCGCGCCAAGGAGGACGTGATCATCAAGGTCAGGAACCTCGGTTGCGGCCTCGAGGACATCATCCTCATTGCGGTGAGTGATGCTGCCTATGGAGCCATGCCTGGTGGCCACAGTCAAGGTGGCATTATGGTGATGTTGGGCTCTCCCGACACTTTGTCTGGAATGGCCCCAGTGTGCCCAGTGGAAGGCATCAGCAGCAAGATCCAGCGCGTGGTTCGCTGCTCGATGAGTGCCGAGGTGAGTTCATTGGCCACTTGCTTTGAACATGGCGATTTCGTGAGGGCTGTGTTTTGCGAGCTGATTGATCATAAGTTCAAACTACCACAATGGAAACTGTCAGTAGCCCGATGGCCTCTCTACCTGGTGACGGACGCTCGCAGGGGCTACGACTGTTTGAACAGCGACACCCTGCCCTCCGACCGCAAGATCGCCATAGACGTGGCCGTTCTCAGGCAGGCAATCATCGAGGACCAGATGCAATGCTTTGTGCGGTGGGTTCCGGGTTCAGTGATACCATGCGACGGCCTCACAAAGTGGGCAGACAACCATGTTCTACTCCAGATTCTGAAATCTGGCGAGTGGGCTCTCGTGGACAGTCAAGAGGCCCAGGAGTTGCGTCGCAAGGCGAGTGTGAAACGCTCGATGTGGCGTAAGGCCGCGAAGGCCACTTTTGCCGATGCTCAACGGTTCTCCGCTCCAGAGGGGGCTTGACTCAAAGCGAGCATTTTGCGTCGAACCGGCACGGCAGTTTCAGAAGCACTCGACCCTGGAAGCCCTTTGGCTCCTCCTGCAGGCGACCAGGAAAAGCGGGCTGCCCTTCAGGGTTTTTTGGTTTTGCATCCCTGCCATATTTCGCTCTAACCCTAAACCCTAATTGAACCCTAAACCCTACTTAAAGGATCATGGGACTTGGCCCCAATTACGGTACTTATAAACCTACTTACTAAGTTCTATGTTCCTCCAAGTAAACACGGACTCGCGCTGCCGATCTTGAGCCTGCTGCTGCAGCCTTGCACTAGGCAGGCCCTGCTGCGGAGCGAATTCAATTCGGATGAGCCGCGGCGAGGGTTGATCTAAACCCAGGTCCCTTTTAGGGTTTAATTAGGGTTTAGGGGTTTAGGGTCTACAGTAGGTCAGGTGAACCTTCAGACAGACAAGGGAACCTAGCCCAGAGCAACCTCCCATACGACCAGGTGGTGTGGCAGACAGCTGTCAGGATGATGCATGGCTTTGGATTCGGAGACTCTAGGGTTTATACTGGAAGCCAGAAAGTTGGAATATCATTATCGTAACCCATTTAAGGTAAATTATAGGGGATCCTACCATTAATCCATATTCCAACTTTCTGGAGTTCCCTTTAGGGTTTAGTGAGGTTCATGGGTAGTGACAAGTGGGGCGATATGTCCCCTAATATAGGTTATAAATTATAAACATAGTTATCCTACTTATAACCGTACTTATAACTACCCATGAATCTCCAAGTAAGCTCAAACTTGGAAACCCGAAATGCGAAGTCCCAACTCGTGGATCTAAATGGCGACCCCCCCCAAAAAGCACATAAGCAAAAATGAAGGTAGGGATATCCCATATAAACCTCCCTAAAAGGAAGGCCAATAAGGTAGGGATATCACCATCAAATGCTTATGCTTATGTGCTTTTTGGGTCTCTAACTAAAATCTACAACCACCGACAATGAGAGCCAGCTGCCACAAGACCTGACATTGTCGACCCATCTAGGCGCACTACTAGCGCCCGAAAGCTTGCCGGGCTGGATTTGTCAACGGTTCAGGAATCACGAAATTAGATCTCAAGGGTTGCGGTTCAGGGTTGTCGGGGGCTAGGCAGACAGTTTACAGAGTTTAGGTTGTCTTGGGTCTCGAGGTTTGCCTGTGATGGACTGCGGATTCTTGGTTCGGGCTGAGGCGGCGGCTTCCTGAAGGACCAAATGACCCTTAAAAGTAGGGGCCTTACACCTATATGGTATATGAACCTTAAACCCTTTTAGGGAACATTTCGTTCTTAAGGTTTAGGCAAAAGGGGAACGCATGTGTCCCCCCCCATTTACCTACCCTTGTCTTGCCTTTCCTGTCTTGACCACATGGCTTTGTTGATGCATTGGCACCCTAATTTGGGAATGCCTCTCGAGCAGTCCGACTTACCATACCTGGAGCCAGAACATTGGAAACACCAATGAACAACTATGAAAAACATGAGTCGGAAGCAGAAACCATTGGACAAACACAGTACAAACTAAAAACATCAAGATTTGCAAGCTTTCCGGAGGTGCTGCTCTTGCTGCTGCTACTGAGAAGATATGGGCTGCAGGTCCAATCACAATCGTGGAATAGCCTCTTGGCTAAACACCGTCGCAATTTGCAGACTTCTGCTGGGGAGCTTTTCCTACTGCTGCGACTGCTGTCGATCTCGTTTGCATTTGCTAATGTCAGTGTTTCGGGGTTAGGTTCGAAGGACAGAAGCACTATCCTTCCAGCCCTAGCATGCCCGAGTACTCAGCGCGCAACACTTCGCAAATTCCTCTCTCCCGCCGGCTCTCCAAGCACTGTAGCTACTACTATGAGTATCTAAGACCGCCAAAGAGATAAAGTAATCGCCCAACACCTCCAAAAGGCATTAATTATTCTACCGACTTTGAGGAACAGTTTGGGGCTTAGGATTTCGGGTTCAGGGTTGAAGGGCATAGGGGTTAACAGGGATACAGCGGCCTGAAGTGCCAAAGACTCCAATATTCCTTCAGTTCATGACTATTCCTTAAATCATATTAGGGATCCTACTATAATTTAAGGTATATTCCTTAATTAGGGATATTGGAGTCTCTCGGTGATCAAAGACACTGTTCCTCAGGTTCCCGACTGTGTGCTCAGGCCCTTTGTCGGAGCATTCAGGCCTCCAATGTAAAAAACTAAATGACCGTTACTGTTCCTTTGGGTTCCGTACTAGAGTTACCGTATGATATGCCTCACAACGAAGGTTGAAACCACGCACGCCCTTATATTGCATGAATCACTAGCTGTCCTGCACAAGACTTGTCTGACTTCTGAATCCCTCCATAAAGCTAGACTCTTGGCCTCCTGGATATAAGCGATAGAGAAACAAAGGAACCGGAAAACAGCCAAGAAGGCGGCAGAAGATCTTCACAGGTCGAGGAATGCAGAGCCCCCGTTCGCACGGAGGCCAAAAGCAGCGAATCTCTCGTTGCCACGAAGCAACTGGACGACAGCACCCCGGGTTCAGGCTTAGTTGATTTGAGGTCTATAGGTTTCAGAACCGACGATTTAAGGTTTACGCATTCAAGATTTACGTGTTTGGAGCTGAAGTTTTCTGCTTACCTGCAGCAAGAGCTCTAAGCCCGAAACCTTAAACCTCCAAACCCTGAACCCTAAGCCGTTAAAACCCGACATTCGCAGCCCTGAATCTAACCCCTGAGCCCTACTTGGAAGGGCAGGGGACTTAGTAAGTAAGTAGAGTCATAAGTACCCTAAATGGAGTTACCCCAATTATAACCCTACTTATGAACGACTTACTAAGTCCCAAGCCCCTCCAAGTAAGACAGCCTAGAACTTCTAACCATGGCGCGATCCGTAGTTCCATTAAAACTTTACGGTTTAGGGATATAGGCTAATATGGGTTTAGGGGTTGAGGGTTGGGAGGTTTAGGGTTAATATAAGGGGTTTAGGGGTTAAGGGGTTGAGGGTTTATGAGTTTAGGAGTTTAGGATTTAAGATTTAGGGTTTAGGGGTTTAGGGTTCAAGTTTGAGGGGTTCAGGGCACCGGCCGAAGGCCGAAACCCTGAACCACGAAAACCCTTAGCCTGCAAGCTGGGGTGCTTCGGTTGATGATATAAATCCTGCATTACCCATAAGAAGGAAGATATGGGAATTATGATATATTCCTCATTATGGGTAATGCAGGATTTATATCATCAACCGTTGTGGTGCCTTTTTAAAGTCCTTGTTATAATACGGCACCTAATATTTAGGGTACCAAAAAAGGGACCATAACTTTCGCAACCACCCATGTAGAGTTTCAGCTGCTGCTGCGCTATAAGAGCTTCAGCTATTGCTTCGCCATGAAGACGTTGCTTGCGCTCCCTACATTCTGGGCAATTCATGCTTTCTGCTTCTAGTAAGCCAGAAGCCCCTCTTGAGCCCGAAACCTCGGTGCATGTCCGCGTCGGAGTGATCCGGATTGAGACCTTCCCGTATTGTACAGGGAAGGCGGTGGGAAAATCCAACGAGGCGCTCAGTAATTGGTATCTCGTTGGATGCTCTCGAAGTCTCAAGCGTTCTCTAGCAAAGGTGAGCACGATACGCGAGCTCAAGCAGCCACACATAAAATGATTCCACACTGCCTACCTTAACCCCAAATAACCTACCTTTTTAAGGATTTATACAAAGAAATCATATTAGGGAACCCTAAAAAGGTAGGTTCTTCGGGGTCCAGGTACAGGTAGTTCCATAAACAATAAACCCAAAACGCAACTCGCAACCCCTGAACCCCATGAGGATGCTCGCCTGGGTAAGGTTTCACAATGGCACTGCCACGGGCGAGGGGATGGCAGCGTTTTGAAGATTCCAGTGAGATGTTGAGGGAGAGACAGCCAGAAATGCAACAAGTCATCCTTCCAAGGTAGGGCTGTCCTCCTTGTCATCTGTCCGCTTAACAGCAGAGAGGCACTGTATTAACCCTCAACCCTAAGCCCCAAGCATTCTTGCTCCCTTGGTTTGGGCTCGGCTGCTGCAAGCTCCCGCATCATCCATCAACAGATCATCCCTTCTTTCAGGGGCTTCCACCTGGACGGTGGGCATGTGGATGACCTTGGAATTCAAACACCGTGCGTGTAACAGCTATCCCGGACTGGCTTCTTGGGGTTCTTGTAAAGGACCCCATCTAACGTATCAGATGACTTGCAGCAGATTATGTGCTACATATCTCCGCAAAGATACCTTCTCTAGCTCTCGCACCACACCCCAAGGCGCCAAGTACCTAAGAATCACATACTCTCCAACATCCTAACCTACATAACTACTGTCCTAAAGCCGAGTACTGAATTATTGGGTCGTTTGGACCGTTGGGGACAGGTGTCAGCTTTCGAAGTGGGTTTACTTGTTAGGCGACAACCCTCCTAAACCCCAAACCCTGAACCCTAAACCCTAAGCTAGCATGAGATCGGGGTATGTGGCAGGGGGCTGACTGGGGATCGTTTCGGCTTCACAGGGCGGGTACGGTGTGCACGGAACGGTTTAGGGCTTGCCTTAACCCTGAAGAACCTACCCTTTTTAAGGACCTTCATAGGGAAACCATAGGGAACCCTGAAAAGGTAGGTTATTCGGGGCTAAGGTAGGGTTTGCTTTTGCTTCGGGTTCAAGGTTTAGGGTTCTTGGCAATCTTGGAGTTTCTCCCATCCACAGAAATAATATGGGAACCCTGATTGGTAGGGATCCTGGTTGCTTATCAGGACCCCAACAAATCAAGCTAACCCCCCCTTCCTTCCTTTTTACCGTGTTGGCGTGTGCTACGTTCGCGGATAGATTTCAAGGGCTACTTGTTTGGAGAGTCGTGCTGCTAATTTCAAGACAACCTTGGCAGTTGACATCTTCTAGGAATCAACTAGATTCTTGTATTGGTCATTACAGGGGTGTGGGGTGACAGTGTCAGCAAAACACCATAATGCTGCCTCCGGCACTCAGGAC